GTCAAGTCTTGAGCAGAAAGGGATGATTCAGGCCATGGTGAAATATTAATATTAGAAGCTGTAATTGCTTCAATGGAAAACTTGGGAAAAGATGCCTTAGAATTACCAACGGAAATCATCCAAATACCAAAAACAATAGGGGAATAGAAAACGACTAGGACTAAGAGAAATGTATAAAAATGTGATTTGTGACCAGTAGTTCTATGAGGGGGTGGATTTTGTGGTACCATGTTTATTCAAAGGACAAAATCAGCTTGAAAAGTTTTGATAAACCATTCACGAAGTTATATGGTATCCCTAGGGTTAAAGAGAGTGTATATATACGTATTGTACCTGGGGTGGGGGTGGGGGTGGGGGTGGAGGTTGTTTTCTTGTTCAAGTTGATTAAAAGTAATTGCACTTTTACAGCATGTTTGAATGGTTGTTACATGTTGTATTTGTACTATATTGTTACTTTAAATACAATATTTGTTTTGACTATTACTTAAATTTTATTGTATCGAATCGTTAAATCCATCATTTACGTAACGACGAGAAGTGCCACTTTATGGAACGACCAATTTAGTATGGTTGTGTCGTTCCCTTATTTTTTTCCTCTCATCTTGCCCTTCTATATTATTAAATAATCCTATTGTATTCTTTACCTTATCTTTTTATATAATAATTTTAACGTACCTTACTTTTTCTTTATAATATTGCAAGTTTATTCTTCATATTGTTGGTGCATGCCATGATGAAACAACGAAAAATAATACGAACTGTCTAAACATTATATACATCAAAAGAATACGATATAATATGTTATAAGATACATTGTGAAACGACATAACAACCATCAAAATAAGCTGTTAGTAAGAATAATATATTGCAGTTTAAGTGAGAATACGACATTATTATTAGTGCCTTAAATATAGGGGCACGTGTAATTAGTCAAAGTACTCATATTCATAGTGGATTAATGTTTTAATTTTAGTCCTAGTAAAGTTTATTGAATGTGTATTTTAGGGAGATAAAATATATATAGTTTGAGGACATGTATGATGAAGCTAAGACTCGGGTTAGGACAGCGGGAGAAGGCTCGGAAAACTTTCCGATTATGATGGAGTTGCACCAGGGATCAGCTCTTAGTCCATTCCTATTTTCCTTGGCGATGGACGCATTGATGAGACACATTCAAGGTGAGGTGCCACGGTGTATGTTATTTGTTGATGACATAGTCATAATTGACGAGACACGGGGTGGTGTTAACGAGAGGCTGAAGGTTTGGAGGCAGACCCTAGAGTCTACGGGTTTCAAGTTGAGCAGGACCAAGACGGAATACTTGGTGTGCAAGTTCAATAACGATATCCAGGAAGAGGATATGGAGGTGAGGCTTGATACGCAAGTCATCCCCAAAAAAGGTAGTTTCAAGTATCTTGGATCTATAATACAAGGTAACGGAGAGATTGATGAAGATGCCACGCATCGTATTGGAGCAGGATGGATGAAGTGGAGGCTCGCTTCCGATGACTTGTGTGATAAGAATGTGCCGCTGAGACTTAAAGGTAAGTTCTACAAGGTTGTAGTTAGACCGATTATGTTGTATGGAGCATAGTGTTGACCGGTCAAAACTCTCATACCCAGAAGCTAAAAGTAGCTGAGATGAGGATGTTAAGGTAGATGTGTGGGCATACCCAGTTGGATAAGATTAGGAATGAAGTTATTCGGGAAAAGGTGGGAGTGGCTCCTGTGGAGGATAAGATGCGGCAGGCGAGGTTGAAATGGTTCGGGCATGTTAAGAGGAGAAGTATAGAAGCCCCAGTTAGAAGGTGCGAGAGGTTAGCCTCGGTGGATAGCAGGAGGGGTAAAGGTAGGCCTAAGAAGTCTTGGAGAGAGATTATTAGGCGGGACATGGCGCAGCTGGAGCTGACTGAGGACATGGCCCTAGACAGGAGGGTGTGGAGGTCAAAGATTAAAGTAGAAGGTTTGTAGGTAGTCGAGCATTTTCTCTTTGTCTTACTCAGTTCGCTAGCATTAGTATTAGTATGATATCTTTTTATTCATAGATTGCTATTACCATCGAGTTCCACTGCATTTTTTGATTCGATCTTATTTTATCTTGCTGTTATTCCTACTTGTTGCAATTACCTTTTTATTTTCAGTTGTTCTCTAGTCGAGGGTATATCGGAAACAGCCTCTCTGCCCTTCCGGGGTAGGGCTAAGGTTGCGTACATCTTACCCTCCCCAGACCCCATTGCGGGAAACTACTAGGTTTGTTGTTGTTGTTGTTGATAACAATTTTAAAGGAATTAAAAAAAAAAATAGTTGTTTGAAAATTAATACATTGTAGTTGATTTGTATCTACTAGCTCATATTAAATTTAACATTATTGTATTATTTATACTTGTAAAAACATGCTAAATATTTTATTTTCTATGAGTTTCTTTTTTATCCTTTTAAATTTTCTTGAACATTTAATGTATTTTTTTTTATAGTTTTGTGTTATTTTACTATCTTATAGATTTATAAATTAAAAAAATACTTAAAGATTGGCTTACTCCCCATATCTCGGGCTTACATCTTACCATGTATTAAGTAAAATGCCTCGTCTCACGTTTGCGTTTAAAACACTGCTACCTTTGGCGCAATTTGCTAATATTATGTCTTGAAAAAGAAGGGTTGCAAAGCTACTTAATTTAACATTTAAAAAGATTAATCTAAATAGCAGGCCACTCAGTTGCTTAAATAAAAAATAGTCGATAAAAGTATTATATATATAATTGGCCCGGTGATGTGGCAGTTTGTTTAACCAGAATACACATTAATAAATTGAAGAATATTAAATGTAATCTAACCATTAATCCAATCCATTTTGATGGTAATTAACAATATTTTATTCTATGCATTCACAATTATAAAATACATTCTATAATTTATGCACTAGATTTTTGTTTGTGTTGCAGATAATTGAAATTGGTCATTTATGAGGGAAAGGGAGACAATAAAACAGTTTACTATATAGTACTTAATTATTTTTAGTTTTAGGATTTAAACAACAACAACAAACCCAGTGTAATCTCATAAGTGGATATGGGGAGGGTAGAGTGTACGCATACCTTACCCTTACCCTTAAAAAGGTAAAGAGGCAATTTCCGGAAGACCCTCGGCTTAGGGAAGAAAAAGGGACGGGACAAATAACAAGCAAACCAATCTGACAACCAAAGTGAAAATAGAAACTAACATTAAGTAATGCAAACAGAAAATCGAAACAAGGCATCAATAAGTAATATCAACAATCTAGGGATAAAAAGTACCCGAAGGACACTAAGAAATGTAACAAAGCTATTATGACAAACAAGGACAACACTCGGCTACCTAACCCTATATCTTTATTCTCAACTTCTACACCTTCCTATCTATATCCTAAGTCAGCTGGAGCAACGTCATATTTCATATAAGTTCTATCTTTTCTTTCTTGGATATTTTTATGATTAAATTCCAATTTAATTGTTAAAAAATTCAACCTTTCTTTCTCCTGATTTAATTAAGTACTTTTTTTTTATTTCTTTTTTTTGTTTGATTTATTCTTTCAAAATTTTCACATATTAAAATTCCTATTCTTCTTTTGTCGCCGTAAAATCTTATATGATTAAATAAAATATGTATATTAAAACTAGTAACAGTGTATGATGTAGTATATAATCAATGAGTTCAACTGATTGTCTGATCCCGACATTTTCAACATGGATAATAGATATAGATGCAAGAAAAATATTTTTTTTTAAAAGATTTTAATTTTGAACTTATAATTCAAAAGTGTAACGGGTGCGCAATAGTAAGAACTAAAGGTTGAACATGTAGAATTCACCCCCTTTTTAGTAGTGCACCTATTCTGCTAAAAATCTGGTCCGCTTCTGGGTATCATTATAACAACCAAATACGAGATAAACAGTCAAATGAATTAATCGAGACGCGCACAATTTTTGAGTCACGAAGGTGTACGTAATTTGAAAAACTCAACTAAGAAATTTTTGTAATCACTAGAAGTCAATAACTTGTATACCCAAACAATTACTCCACAAATTATATCTTTTAAATTAGGGAAACTTACACAAATGTTCCAAATAAATCTCAACTTACTAACCTCTAGCCATTAGTTATAGACTTACCAAAACTAGCCAACAAAAATTGAAAAACCAAATAATAGGGTTCTTTCTCTCAAAGAATCACATGCAAAAATCACCTTCCATATTTTTAAGTGTGATTAGCAACATTAGATACAAGACGGAAAAGAAATTTCATGGACGGGGTAGCAAATAAGGTAATGAAATACAAAAATCTATACAAATATTCCAAAAATCTAAACAAAAAAGGAACTTTTTCAATGGGTATAGTTGAAATTCATTGAAAATATATAGATAAGTCAATATACAAAATTTGAGGAAGATTGGAGGTGATTTGGAGTGGTCTTGTATCAAAATTCATAATTAAATCGAGTTCAAAAAAGTCTTCTGCGACACATGTATCAAACATGTATCACGCATGTATCTCACACACAGGTATACATGGATATACATGTGATACACAATTGATACAAATATGATACATATGTGATACACAAATGATACACAGTGTGATACACATATCATTTTTTTTAATGTTCAGCTTTTACTTCAAATTTTCAATTCAAACCACCTCAAAACTTCACCAAATCATCCCAAAACTGAGATTCAAGCTCCTTAAGTTGTGCCAAATCTATTCTAATAACACCCACTCAAAACAAAGCAAAAATTTGATATTTTTTGCTACAAATAACTAATTGGCTAATTTGGTTAATATTAGTAATATTTTATCAATTGACCAATTTTTGTAATGAGCTACCTGTAGATGGACATAGCTGGTAATTTCCCTTTAAATTATTCCCCTTCAATTAACTTCTTTTATTCCCCACAAAAATCTTGAATTTAACACTTTTACTCCTCACCAAATCTTATATAAAAACATTTAGCTTTTCCCGCCCACTGAAATTTCCACCCAAATCCTTTCCCTCTTCTCTCTCCCACACACACAGTCACACAGTGACACATACAACTGATGCAAACAATTCTCTCCAAAAACTACACACCGAAACCCTCTTAATTATCAATCTTTATGGTTTTAAAAATGCCTGATTTTGGCAATCTTTTGGACCCAAATATTGAAATTTCAAGTGAATCAGATAGCCAAATCCAGGCCCTTATTGTTTCTGACCCAAATACCCAAATGGGGTTCCCTATTTTGCATAAAGAAGATGAATTGAAACTTGAAAATAGGGTTTTGAGGCAGTGTGGTGGTGGGTCTGTGGCGAAAAGGAGTTTGGATGATTATGTTAAAGATTGGGTTCAGAGGAAAGTCAATGCTGGTGTTGATAAAAACAATTGTTTCTTGCCATTCCTTGTTCATGCTCCTAAATTGGTAAATATTCTATTTATAGTTTCCTCCTTCTAATGATTCTTGTTATTGAATTTAAAGTATGTCAGTAGAAAATGTAGTTATGTGGTTTCTACTATTACCATTTGGGATTGCATGAGATATACATTTCTTGTTATCTTGTATTTTTTCCTTATTAAAAAAAATGTAGAAAAACAATAACATTAGGCTATTTCTTATCATGTGTCTAAGTCTAGGTTGGTAGCGTTACCTAGTGGTCAATGAAGTGAGGCGAGAATTATGAGGTCTTAGGTTCAATGATATTGTTGATGAATTTAAAGTATGTTAGCTGAAAATGGGATTGTCCATGATATATACATTCTTCTTATTATCTTGTATTTTGTCCTAATAAAAATGTAAAAAAGCAAAAAAACTAGGTGATTTCTTCCCAGCTTAAGTCTTGGTGTGCAGAATTACTTGGTATTAGTTGAGGTGCCTGCAAGCTGGCACGTCATAAAAAAGCCCCTTATTCATGCTCCGGAATTGGCAAATTTCTTCTTCTATCTTTTTCCTAATGATACTTGTTAATGTATTTAAAGTATGTCAGGAGAAAATGTAGTAATCATAAATTGCTAAAGCATGCTTATTCCTTGAAGTTAGGTTTGAAATAGGTAGAGTGTTTCACGTCGCATAGAGAGAGGTTCACTTTAGGACCAGGGCAATAAGGTGTGCAATGTCGTTACTCGTAAGCTCTATCTTGAAGGGGCAACAGTAATATGTAATGATTTCACTTAATCATGGTTTGTTGCAATTCCTTTGTCCATATAATTGTGGTGTGTGTTTGTAGTTAAGTATCCCACTTTGTTGATGAAATGAGTTGTTTTCCCCTTACATGGTTTTGAGTAATCCTTGCCTCATGTACTAGCTTCTGGAGTTAAGTTAGGTGTAAGGTCTATTTTCTTAACATGGTATCATAGCCAAACCTATTCTAATTCTTAGTTACCCATTGTTGGCCTCCATGTTATGTTGTCCATGCTCCGGATGATAAAACCTGGGGATGTGGGAGAATAAATTGTTTATCTCCTTACATGGTGTTGAACAATCCTCAACTCATGGGCTAGTTTTTGGGGTTGAGTTAAGCCCAAAACCCAGTTTTAGTAATTATTCTTGAATTATAAATGTATGTATACTTTGATTTATTCTTCATTTGTGCATTTTTTTATTGAAACCCACACTTTATTATTTTTCCGCTTAAAGCACCAAGAGAACTCTATGCTATTTTTGGTTTCTAGCATTTCATAATGCTAGAGTCAAACATCATGACCTTATCTCAACATGGCTCGACTACACCTTGTCTCCATCAAAGTAACAAAGGGAATTTGAGAATCTTTATCCCATTGGCGATCGAGAATTGCAAAATAATTAATCTTGTGCTCTTTAATGCATGATATTATTGCATTTAGTATGGTAGCATACTATTGAATGAGTGGGATTGAGAAGTAATTAGCTCACACAGAAGAGCAGCCTTTTACCCTTTTCTGTTAAACGTTTTAGGAGTGCATACATTTGTTTAGATGTTATATTTGATCAATTGTTTCAATGGTTCGTAATGTTTTGTCAGGTTGAGTGCTCTGTTTGCCAAAGATTGATTTTTCCTGGTGAGGAGGTAGGATGCTCTGTTCGAGATTGTATGGGAGTTTTCCACTTAAAATGTGCGAGAGAAAGACTTGGGTTATCTTCTCCCAAAACATTTAAGTGCCCTCAGCATGTGAGTTGGATTTTGTATACATCTTGGCTGAATGATCATAAAACACATTTCTTACTTAATATGTTTGATTCGAGATTTGATTAGTACGATGTACTCTCAGTCTTTGATTTGTACAACAGTTTTAGCTTTTCACATTTTCTTTCTTAAACCTTTGCGATTTCCTGCCTCACCTTAATAACATGCTAGGATCTTACCTTCACCAATGTAGTATACCACTTGTATCTGCTGCTTCGATTTGTGCAGTAGAACTGAAGCTCTAATCTTAAAATTGATGGGGGGGGGGGGGGGAGTTATGATCTATCTGGTAGAGTAAAAGATTAATATCATTTCTCTTGTACATTTTCCCATCTATAATATAGAATAGTTAAATACCAAGCCCTTGTCCTGAGAGGACCAGTATAACTAGTGTGTATATGATGTTTTCTTGAATAGGTATGTTATGTTTGTAATAAAAAGATACATCTCTGGCGGTGCATCAGATGTCCACTAGCATCACACGATAAGTGTGCAGCATTTCCAGAGCACGTGGTTCATTTGAATGATCAGCCAGGGCGAGTAATTTGTTGGAAGCATTCTGCCGATTGGCATTTGGAGAAGGTCAATCTCTTCTTTTGTTCATCAGCACAATTTTATTTCTTTTGGATAAGAACATCTTCTGGAAAACAATAATGAGTGATCGTAATTCGTAATGCAGAATAAACATTTGAGGAACCACTCTCTTAAATGTTCTTTCTGTGAATGTTACTTTTTCCTTTTTGAGACTGCAATATTTGACAGAGTTTGCTATGTTTTTGCATTATTCTTGTGATCCATTATTCCCCATTGAGCAATAACGAAATATAGATGATTGAGAATTCCACGTTCTTTTCTAGTTAAGTTATTGTGATGTTATCTCTGTGATGCTTTTAGTATTTGAGAAAGCTATGAACGGAAAGTAAAATAATTCAATATATAGTAGTTTCTACTGCTGGATCTTTATTTTTGATTGATTAGGCTGGATGACTTGACAGGACTGATGTATCTTGTTTGATAAGCAGCATGAAGCCCCATTGAGTAATTTTGAGGTTAGACATTCATTAAACCATGTTTTTTGCTTGTGATTATTAGATGTAAAGCCTTTCATTCATTGATCAAAAAGCCCTGAACTAATAGCATAGTAAGACAGCATCAAAAATATATAACCATGAAAATGTGGCTCAACCCCACTCGCTTACCAAGTTAACTCAATTATCTATACAACAAGGTGCTCCCTTTATAGTTTATACTAAAGCAACAACAACAACAACATACCCAGTATTATCCCACACCGTGGGGCCTGGGGAGGGTAGTGTGTACCCAGACCTTACCCCTTTCTTGTGAGGATAGAGAGACTGTTTCCAATAGTCCCTCGGCTCAGGAAAGTTAGTTTATACTAAAAATATATATCAAACAAAAAAAAAAGGTTTTATACTTCTTAGATCTGTCTACTATTCTTTTTTGGAAATAGTAAAAGTTTTATTGATAGAAGGTACCAAGATGGTACAAGTAGTACAATAACAAAGGGAATGCAGATCAGAGCATAAAGACAACATCTACTGTCTGCCCTCTAGCAGGTCCAGGAAATCGGTCCTACTATTCTGGAACACTTCTCTATCTATTTCATACCAAATAAGTCAAAGGAAAAAAAAAAATTACACACTCATATACACAATGCTGGTCTCCGAGTTGGTTTTTTTTCTTTTTTTCCTGATAACAATCTTCTATAGCCCCTGACTCGGCACTACTTCATCCATTTTCTACTGCAACATCTAATGAAATATTGAACAGCAAAAGTACAAGGGTCTATACATGTGATTGGACCAGTCCTTCATACTCTTTAAGCAAGCAACACCATTTGCTATTAGAACTGCATCAAGAATTTGCTTTTATCCACAAATAAATTATGAAATGTGAAGGTAAGCTTATCCATTACCTATTTTACTCTTTGTGAGCACATGCATTATTAAATTATCTGCCAAACCAGTAGGCCTAAGTCCTATGTCCTTCAGCACCACTCTTCTTTAGGGTAAGCACAATAAATGAAGAGTTATAACTCCTCCTTGATGGAGCCCACATGGTAGAAATACTTTAGGCAATCCATCACATCATAACTCATACTCTCTTAGTAGTGAATCAAAGAATGTCAAAGAGTGAATCCATATGGTCTTTGCCATGTTGTCGGACTCTTCAAAAATGCTGATGGGTGCGTGTCGAATCCTCCAAAAGTAGTGCATTTTTGGAGGATCAGACACGGGTGCGGCAACATTTTTGGAGAGTCCGAGCAACATAGGGTCTTTGTACCTTGTCCCCTACGCAATGCACTTTTTTACAGCACCTCCATCTAACTCCAGTCCACCCCTTTCTTTTTTGTTATATAATTGGTAATAAAATCATACTATTTCCTCTTTCCCATTAGTTCACTACCATCTATTTGACTTTCTCAATATAGCTATATCATTCAATGTTTGAAGCAAAACTTTTGGAGGCATTAGTTCAGTTAGTTCTTTTAGATACTCAGAGAATCTAGAGTTCTCAAAATATTGATGGATAGATTGTCACTTTCTTATTTATTTCTCATAAATGTTAAAGATCTCACGGTTTTAAGAACCCTGGGACTTAGTTGTTTCGAGAAGATTCTGAATAGCGTTTTCTTTCTTCAGTTTGGAGTCCTTATCAGATTTACTTATTTAACCTTAAATTACAGGAGATATTCAATCATTTGCCTTTACCATACGTGGAGGAGGAGTTCAAGATTGACATAAATTGGAAAGACATGATTGAAAACAGATTTGAACCACCACCATACGTGCATATCAAGAGAAGTATCCTTTGAATGATGTCTACCTCATTAAGAAATAGTAGTACTATTCACCAAGTTAGTTTGTCAACAGGAAAAGTAATACTATGCAGCCAAACCTTAACTGAATTAGATGTCTACCTCATTAAGAAAAAACGTGATGGCGTTAATGCTGATATTGGGTGCACAAACTGCAGATCTACAGAATGTTCGGACAATTGTGTTTGCAGGTAGTGCCAACCGTTGCATGGTTTTCTAATCTGTTCTCGCCAGACTGGATGTTTCTCTTATTCTATGTCAAAATGCAAGTATTGGTGCTATGATTCCTGATGTGAATCCTAGGGAGTCTGAAGATTTATGTTCTGATGCAACTTAGAGAAAGTATTGTTTGTGCATAAGTGTCTCAGTTGCAGGATAAGGTCCTGTATCGGGAAGGTTCTAATGATAAAATATTAAACCCCCGAAAAAAGGTTGAAAAGAATTTTCTGAATCTTATGTTCTGGATATTGTCATTTTTGCATTCTGGGCGTAATATCTTTTGCATGTTGCAAAGTTAATAGGCAAGTCAAGCTAATTTATACAACAATTGAAGGGAGTAGTTCTTCAGTTTACTGCTGCATTTTCTACATTGTGGTCTGTTCGTTATGTACAGTCTTTCCTTGTCCAGCATGTTGGATACTTTTAGTGGGAATAGGGTTCCAGTAGCTGCAAAGTTGGTTTGTCTAAAACGTTTGCCAATCTGAATGAAGTATATTAGTGTTCCATTTGAAGATCACACACACACACACACACACACACACATATATATATAAGGAGCTTTCTTGACAGTTAAATTGTGACTTAATAGGGTTCAATGCATAAGTTGTTCGAAGGCGTGCCGTTGCTCTGATATGTGCTCAAACAGACCTTTTCGGAGAGAGAAAAGGATAAAAGTTGTCAAGGTGACTCGTGTTTTGATACTCAAGTTTATTTAAAACCCAGCTTGTGGTTTTGATTATCATGTTTATTAAAAGCGGCAGAATCTCTTCATGCATTATTGTGGCTGATTCTTTTCTATGTTACAGACAGAACTTTGTGGTTGGGGGGTAGTAGCAGCTGAATCCATAAAGAAAGGTGACTTCATAATTGAGTACATCGGTGAAGGTGATTATTTTACAAGTGAAGTTGTCAACTCTTAGATACTTTTCTTAGTACATTTCATGGATTCACATGTCACTATTTACGTAACTGAATGTTGTGATTATAACATCTTTCAACCATTCCTACCCAATGTTATGCTCTACAACAACTATGCCTCAATCTAAAACAAGTTTGGGTCGACTATATGAAACCTCACTCATCATGTCACTTCGTTTAAGCTCATCTTGGATTAAAATAAACATAAAATAAAGTACTAAAGCTGCTCTACATGTTTTCTGAAAAGGTAATATATTTGTATATTTTACAATTATACACGCAAAAATCTGACATATAAATCTATGACGGGGCGAAAAGACTAAAAAAACATTGAACCTAAAGTACACGTAAAAAAGATGACCAAAACATAGTCCCAACTAATTGATATTGCATTGTACCTAATTTTTCGCTAGGTCTGTATGGATTCCAAGAGAAAGTAGATCCTTTGATACAATTTCCTTCCATATGATTTTAGGTCTACCTTGTTCTCTTTTAGCGCTACTCAATATGGTTTTACACCTATGGATCGGTGCATTTGGAAGTCAACGCAGGATATGCCCAAACTATCTCATGCGACCCCTTTATCCTCAACGTGGGCTAGTTGCTCCTGTCAAATATGGTTTTTAAATCTTGTCCTAATTTATATGACCACATCCATTTTAGTACCCGCTGCCCACATCCCTAAGACATTTTTTCTTGTGGATATGTGAATTATAGCGGCGCAATATTCACTCCCATATAACATTGCTGGTCTTATAACTTCTTAGTAGGGCATGCCTTTCACTTGGGTAGGTATCCTTCTGTCATATAACACTTCTCCATTTCAACCATCCTATTTTGATTCTATGTGCAATATCTTCATCTATCATACCATTCTCCTGGAGCATCGAGTCTAGATATCTGCATTGTTTGTATTTACGTAGTGCAATCCTGTCTAATCTCACCTCAACTTCACTTTTCTTTTGCTGACAAAACTTGCAGTGCGTAAACTTACAATCATGGAAAACTCTACTACTATTCTCACAACAGTGACAATTCCTTTACACATATCCTTTATGGTACTATATATATAATATGATTTCCTTTCTTCTCCAGCACCCACCAAATGACCATTCTTGGTACTCTGTCTTATACTTTCTCTAAGTCAGTAAACACCATATATAGTTCTTTCTTCTCTCGCGAATAATTTCATCGATCTTCTCAGCAAAAAATATAGATTCTGTTGTGGATCCATCATGCATAAATTCAAACTGGTTCTCTGTTACTCGTGTAATATCTCTAAATTTACGCTCTATGACTCTTCCCGAAGTTTCATCATATGTCTCATAAATGCCACGATAGTTTGTACAACTTTGAATATCTTCTTTGTTTTTATATATAGGAATCGGAGTACTCTTTCTCCACTCGCCAGACATCCTACCACTTTTCAGTGAAACGTTAAATATTTTGGTAAGCCATCGTACTCCAGCTTTCCCAAAACACTTCCAGACCTCTATGGGGATACCATATGCACCACAGCCTTTCCTAATCCTCATATTTTTCATGGCATTCTTTACTTCTGTCAGCCTGATTCTACGAGTGCAGCTAAAATATCTATCATACACAAATGTATGGAGATTTATAAAGTTATTCTCGCGGTTCGAGTTGCACAATTCATCAAAATTGCCTCTTCATCTCTCCTTGTCTGATTATATCTTGTCACACCTATTGAGAACATAAAATGTTATGTATACAATAATGAGTATTAAAATATAAATTTAAGATGAAATGGTTCGTCTGATCCTAACAACCGTAGGTGATGTCAAAACCCTCCTGCATTTTCTTTTTTCGGAAACCTACTTTTGTTTGAAATGTTTTATAGGATCTGATCTTCAGGGATAGCTGATAACTGAAATTATTACCTGTTACACTTTTGACTAAAGCATTGGGATTCTTAGATGCTTTTCAGCATCTCAGTCTTATGTTTGAAAAGAGGTTATACAATTTTGGATTGCTCACACTCACTAATCGAAACTCATACTCCATAGCATTTGACAAACCAAATTTTGGAACAGAAGTCTCTTAAACTACTATAAACCAGTGCCCCACCTCCCCCTGCCAATGTTTGAGTTTACTCCAAATATTAAGAGCCTATACCACATATTTTTATGCATTAAACATAGATGTCTAGATGCTCTTCGAATAGAATCATAGTGATTTAGGATTCCCTACTTCTTTTTATGCATCTCGTATGCCGGGAATTCTCAAGTATTGTAATTAGATTTACCTTTATAAATAAAATAAATAGAATATACCATATTAAAGGTATTAAATGTAAATCCTTTTCTTGAATCCCAAGGGTCTATTTGACATTTTAAAATCCACTTGTTTTCTTACTATTGTGTCATCCCTGATTCCTTGTACAGCTCAGCGGGCTCATCTACCTGAAATGTACAATGTAAAGCAGAGGACTTCTGCTAGTTAATTCGAATACAGAAATGTCAAACTCTTTTGCATCTAAATTTTCTTGTGACCCATTTATGTGCATTCATTATGTATTTCATTAAATGTTGAAACATTTTGTTTTTGTTTTTAGCAATCATGTTATGCTTCTAAATTGGTAAGTCTATTTTTTTTTGTTTCAGTTATTGATGATGCCTTGTGCGAGAAAAGGCTGTGGGATATGAAATATAAGGGAGTGAAAAATTTCTACATGTGTGAACTACGGAAAGATTTCACAATTGATGCAACATTCAAGGGAAACTTGTCCCGCTTTCTCAACCATAGCTGCGATCCTAATTGCAAACTGGAAAAATGGTTAGTTAACTTCTTCTAATATTTTTCAGACTCCACTTGTGGAATTCCACTGAGTTGTTGTTGTAACTTCTTCTAATAGCTTATCCTTTTTTCATTTGTTTTGATTATTCTTTGAGATCTGATGCTAGTGATCTTTGACATGAGTTAACATACTCCAGTGTCATCTTCCTGGATCAGACTAAAGCTGTGAATTTTGAAACGAAACATCAACGTGAATTTTGCAAAGGATATAATCAAATACTAACATTCCAGATTTTCACTTTTTTTTTGAAGTTAGATGAACTTAGCCCTTAAACCACGTTAAAGAATAGGTACATGGATGGCATTTGCGATGTCATGCTCTCAAAGTAATATAGGCTCTTCTAATTGTTGTCCAGTTTTACGATGTATTCCTTTATAACTGAATGCTAGAGGATATCGAAGTTATTCATTTTACACTTCCAACTAGAGGAGAAGTTCATACTAGACCAGCCGAAATCCCAGGAATAACAGTCATGCAATTTATGTGCATGTTGCCAATCTCGGTTCTTACGACACATCGAATGCTGAAGTATGGCATTTTTCAGATGATGTGATGGCTTCCTTCAACAGGCATCTGAGCTTTGTTGGTTAGTGGAGATCGCTGATAAACTTATTTTTTGAGATTCCCTCAACTGTTTGTGTTTCATTTTCTATCATGTCTTCTCGCTGTATCTAACGTCCAATCTTGTTTAGGAACTAACTAATGAATAGGCATACAAATAGAATGGCGTGGCTTTTATTTTTTCTGTATAGTAGTTCCCACATATATATAATTTTCTTCTTCTTTTGATAGTCACGTATTTATCATTTCTTCGGTTGCAAGTGTTACAGTCCGACATATTTGATTCTTCCTTTAGGCTCATTGTGTGCCTTGATCAACAATTCAACATTATAATGGTTAATTTTTATTGCCTATTAAAGGCAGGTTGAAGGTGAGACTCGAGTTGGTGTCTTTGCTGCTCAATCCATTGAAGTAGGAGAACCTCTGACCTATGATTACAGGTATGCTTCTTTTTGCTTGCAGTAAAGCTATATTTAGGTTCTTGTACTCTTCTTGTCTATCTAAGTTTTGGCGAAACTTCCAAGTTATGTCAGTAATACAACAATGTGAACGAAATAGAAAGAATAACTTGTGTTCTCATTCCAAGAGGTGAGCAATATAAATACATGTACATCAGATGCTAACTAAGGAAAGAAATAAAAGAGATTCCTACAAATCTGCTATTTATGTACACTACTAAGAAAGAGTCTACATTCATTCTATAATAAGTGTCTAGATTCATCCTATTATAAGTGTCTAGATTATCCTATAATAAGTGTCTAGATTCATTCTATAACACTCCCCCTCAAGCTGGAGCATATATGTTCATCATGCCCAGCTTGTTACAAAGGTAACCAATTCGAGTACCATTCAATGCTTTAGTGAACAAATCAGCTAGTTGCTCTCCTGTCTTCACGTAGGCAGTGGAAATCAAGTTCTCTTGAATTTTCTCACGAATAAAGTGACAGTCAACTTCAACATGCTTGGTTCTTTCATGATACACTGGATTTGAGGCAATATGGAGCGCAACTTGATTGTCACACCAGAGCTTTGATGGAGTAGGATGCTTCAACCCTATTTCAGTTAAAAGATGGTGTATCCACATTATCTCACATGTTGATTGTGCCATAGCTCTATACTCTGATTCTGCACTGGACCGAGATACAACATTCTGTTTCTTACTTCTCCATGATATCAAGTTTCCACCAACAAACAAATACACAGTAACCAGTAGTAGATCTTCTGTCAATCTTGGATCCAGCCCAATCTGCATCTGCAAAACAATCAATGCGGGAATCCCGTGGTTGCTATATAATATGCCAAGTCCAAGAGCTCCTTTTAGGTAACGTAGGATCTGCTCCAAAGCCTCCCAATGTTTGATTGTGGGCGCGGACATGAATTGGCTAAGCATACTTACTGCAAAAGCAATATCTGGACGAGTCACAGTGAGATAGTTTAATCTCCCAACTAACCTCCTGTATCTATTCGGATCATTAAATGGCTCGCCATCATCTTTCATAAGATGCAATTAGGAACCACTGGAGTACTGCAAGGCTTGGCAGCCAACTTACCAGTTTCTGCCAGTAAGTCAAGAATATACTTTCGCTGAGATAGAAAAATTCCCTTCTTGCTTCTAGTTATTTCTACTCCCAAGAAATATTTCAGTTGTCCCAAGTCTTTTTTGTATGAAACTTAGTATGCAAGAAAGACTTGAGAGAAGAGATTCCTGCATAGTCACTTCCTGTAATCACAATGTCATCAACATATACGACAAGGAAAATAGATCCAGCTGTTGATTGCCCGTAGAAGACTGAATGATCACATTTGCTCTTTTTTAGCCCAAATTCTTGAACTACCTCACTAAATTTACCAAACCAAGCCCGGGGACTCTGCTTCAAGCCATATAAGGACTTCTTTAGATGACAGACCTTTCCATACTCCCCCTGAGCAACAAAACCAGGTGGTTGCTCCGTATACACCTCTTCATGAAGATCACCATGAAGAAATGCATTCTTAATATCCAATTGATGCAAAGGCCAATTCTCAGAAGCTGCTAGAGAAATGAACAAGCGGACAGAAGTAAGTTTGGCAACCGGAGAGAATGTCTCTGAATAATCCACTCCATAAGTCTGAGCATACCCTTTGGCCACAAGTCTGGCCTTAAGTCTTGCCACAGAGCCATCTGGATTAACTTTGACCGTGAAGACCCATTTGCATCCCACTGCTTTCTTTCCACTAGGTAAATTCACTAAATCCCAAGTATGGTTTTCCTCTAAGGCATGTATTTCCTCAAGCATTGCTTCAGACCATCCAGGATGATTCAAAGCCTCTTTCACCGTTTTGGGTATAGAAATGGAGTCTAGAGACGCAATCAAAGATCTAGATGCGGGGGATAAGTGGTCGTAGGAAACAAAATTAGCAATAGAATATGTGGATTTGCAAGTACGTGTACCTTTGCGTAAAGCAATGGGAAGGTCAAGGTCTTCTGGAGGATCAGGCGGAAGAGGAACAGATGACGGAGGAATTGGTGCAGGAGATCATTTGTCTCTCGCCTGCGCGAGTAAACTTGAACAATTGGTGGTCTTGCTAACACAGTTGGAGCAGGTGTTGAAGGCACAATAGTCGATTGGTGCTCGATAGAAGAGCTAGGAGATGAAGGAACATCATCTGATTGTTCTGTCAAAGTACGGGTAACCTGATATACTAGCCACTCATCTTCCTCCCCCTGACTAGTAGAGACGGGAGGTGCATAGAAGAATGGTATAGTCTCTGAAAACACCACATCAATTGACACCAGATATTTGCCAAGTTCAGTAGAATAACACCGATACCCCTTCTGAAGGCGGGAATAACCAAGAAAAACACACTTCAATGCCTTGGGATCCAACTTGGTAACAGATGGTCGAACATCTCGAACATAACATGTGCTTCCAAACACCTTAGGTTCCACAGGAAATAATGACTTATTTGGAAAAAGAATACTGTAAGGCATATTACCTCCAAGCACAGTAGATGGCATGCGATTAATCAAAAAGCAAGCTGTGGAGACCGCATCAGCCCAGAACTGTATAGGAACTTTCATTTGGAACAGAAGTGCCCGAGCTGTCTCAAGTAGATACCTATTCTTCCTTTCAGCAACTCCGTTTTGAGAGGGTGTATCAACACATGAAGACTGATGTATTATTCCATGTTGTTTCATGTAGGACTGAAATAACTCTGACTTGTATTCTTTAGCATTATCACTCCTTAGAATATGCACCGAAGCATTGAATTGAGTTTTGACTTCAGCACAAAAGGCAAAAAAGTGAGTAAACACTTCAGAGAGACTCTTCATAAAGTAAATCCAAGTCATTCGGGAAAAATCATCTACAAAAGTGACAAAATACTTGTGTCCAGTTTTAGAAACAATAGGACATGGTCCCCAAACATCAGAATGAACTAACTCAAAAGATGACTCAGCTCGCTTGTTAACCCTTGGACCTAACGAGATGCGATGATGTTTTGCAAATCAACATGATTCACAATCCAATGAAGAAATATTCTGAAACTGAGGACAGAACTTCTTCAACAAAGTTAAAGAGGGATGCCCCAATCGACAATGTGCTTCAAAAGGAGACACGATACTAGATCATGCAATAGATTGTGGCTCCCATTCATCAAGGATATAGAGATCACCAGATAAATACCCTTTACCAATAATTTGCTTCGTCGTAAGATCAAGAAACAAACAATGATTGGGAAAGAACGCTACACAGCAATTAAGGTCTCTGGTGATTTTACTAACAGAAATCAAATTAAAGGCCAAGTTTGGTAGACTTAATACAGATGACAGGGTAATAGAGGAAGTCGGTTTAACAGTCCTAGATCCAACACTGCTACATGTTGTTCCATCAGCTACAGTAACTGAAGAGGGTGCTTTGTGTGATCGAAAGCTAGAAAAAATATTTGGATTACCTGTCATGTGATTTGTGGCACCTGATTCAATCACCCATTTATTTGAAGAGGTGATAAGACATGTCTTATCTGGCCCGGCAAAAGCAGTAACTGAAGAAGATTCCTTAATTGATTTATGATTTTGAAGGAACTCAAGAAACTCATCCGAAACTAGGATTGTTGGACTAGAAGTTGTATCACTATTTCCTCCTTGCTTACTATTTATGGTCATCTTTCCAAAAATCCCCAAAGTATCAATATAAATGTCGGAAAAGCCAATAAAGCTCAAAAGTTCTCCACCAGAATAACACTATCCAACGAAACAACGAAGGAAAGACACCCAATGAAACAAAGAAACAGAACTCCAATAGAGCCAATCTAATGGGCAATAACCAACCAAAAGTACGGCCAATAGTGTAAGAATCAGTAACCAAGAATCACTAACCAACAGATTAATCTCAAAGCTATAAAAAAAAAGGCCAAAGTTCTGCACACAAAGTTGGTTCACTACTAAGGATCAGGCAATCACAGAAGGAAACAAAATTTGAACACAACAGAGAAAAGGTGACAAAACCTTGACACTATGAACCGAACCTGGGAAGGTCAGAGATTTTCCCAACCGAGGTTTCCTGAACAAACACCATAAGCTGGACGAAAATGTAAAGTCGATGCCGGAGAGATGGTTAAACTTCAAATTCCAAACCTTTCAAAAGTATTCTGACCCTAACTGACAGTTCCGGTAAGTTCTCTAACTCCGGTAAAGCCGGAGAACCCGCTCTGATACCATGTGAACGAAATAGAAAGAATAACTTGTGTTCTCATTTCAAGAGGTGAGCAATATAAATACATGTACATCAGATGCTAACTAAGGAAAGAAATAAAAGAGATTCCTACAAATCTGCTATTTATGTACACTACTAAGAAAGAGTCTACATTCATTCTATAATAAGTGTCTAGATTCATCCTATAATAAGTGTTTAGATTCATTCTATAACAAACAACAACCTAAGTTGTCGACATAACACTAGTATGGGTGTGGGTATGGGATCCATACCGGATCTGGTCAAACAATTTGGGTACTTTGACCACGACGGACGGAAAAATGCGAGACGAGATACAATTTGGTTCCCGAAATCAGAACCAAAACTAGGGTAAATTTGAAGAAAATAGCATACCTTGTCTAGGAAATCAATCCTTTACTTATCTACAACTTGAGAACAAAAAGAAATCCACACTTTACAAGCTATATGTAAGTAATCCACAAAATTTCTCATAATTTTGAGATATTTTTATATTTTTATTTTCGTGAATTATTTTTAGCCGGATCCCCGCACCCGTATCCGCATTAGGATCCGTATCCCCAAATCTTAGAATTTACATCTCGAAGGATCCGTCCTCAAGATCCACACCCGTGTCAGACACCCGCACCCATGTCTGAGCAACTTAGACAACAACAACATACTCAGTAATATATGTCTGTAATCGTTTAACCTTTTGGCGTTATACATGAAAAAATATGTGATTTGATTTGTATGAGCTAAATGACAATGAAGAAACCTCCTGTTCATCCAAGATTATTTGGCCATGTAATTTTCTGTGATATGTTGAGTGTTTGTAAATTTCATAGGGGAAGCTTCCATTTATGTGATTTTGTTTGATATATCATTTTATTTCACCAAAGTTGTGGTAATATTTGCTTGTAGTCCTAACGCACATGAGGCAGACGATGTCATGTTTTCAAGTAACAACAACGTACCCAGTATATTTCCACAAGTGGGGTCTGGGGAGGATAGTATGTATGCAGTCCTTACTATCTTGTGAATGTAGAGAGGTTGTTTCCGGAAGACGTCATGTTTTCAAGTAGTATATATTAATTTAAGAATTGAACTTCACAACATGTGCATTTGGCTAATTAGCTCAATCTGCAGCATACATTATGGTTTTCAATCCGAATAAAGATCTGATTTGTTCTTGTACACAGATTTGTGCAGTTTGGACCAGAAGTGAAGTGCAATTGTGGAGCTTCGAATTGTCAAGGCTATTTGGGTAGCAAGAAGAAAATTGTGACTACACTGGACATCTGTTGGGGTACGAAACGCAGGAGAACATCTACGTCTTGCCTAGCGATCATTAAATTGAATACGTGTTAGCCAATTCTTTTATTTGGTCATTTGTTTTTGTATTTTGCTGTTTCCACTAAATGCAATAAGCCAAAAGCTAGCCACTGAAAAAAAAAAGGAACAATGATTTTGTTGTATGAAGCTGTTACATTGGCCACAGATACATTGATTTATACTGTTATACACCCTTTTTCAACATAGTTATTTGAGCATTGATTCTCTCATTCTTCTGAATTGTGATAGAATCCTCATTGTAAAAGATGTTGTATATCTTTTCATTTCATTGCCTTCTTTCAATTCTGGTGCCCTCTTTATTTATTGCACAAGTGTAACGTTGAAGAAGGGAAGTCTTGCAAGAATGATAAAGTTGTGTTTGTGTTGACCTACAGGTTACGGGTTCGATTGTAGAAGCATCCGCTAATACTTGCATTAGGGTAGGTTGTTTACATCACACCCCTTGGGGTGTGACTCTTCCCCGGACTGCCCAAGTATAACGTTGAAGTTTTAGTTTATTGTGGGTGATCCGAGACTGTATAGGGTAGTTCGGTGCACTAAGCTCTTGCTATGCGCGGGGCCCGGGAAAGAGCCGGACCATATGATCTATTGTGGGTAGCCTTACCTTACATTTCTGCAAGAGATCCGAGAATGTATAGAACAAACAAAACGAACCGAAGATTGGACAAAGATCCCAACTTTAGTAAGCACCAAAACTATCTATCAGTAGCTCAAACCAAAGCACTATAGCTGTGTTATCTAAGCTGCTGTTCTAAGGATAGAACTTCAGCTTCTCTAATCTCTTTGTTAATTTGGTCTTCATTGTATCTTTGCTTAAGACATCTTGAGTTACTTGTCTGATTATCACTCCAACTACTATAGAAGCATCAAACTGCTAAGCTATACTATGAAAGTTTAGGAGAGAATGATCGAGATGAGGATGACGAGGGATGTGTCTATTTCCGAGAGCAATTTGAATTCATGACGGGGGATCAACTAGGGAAGCTATTCATCTTTTAAGGAGATTGTTGGAGCAGTATAGGGATAGGAAAAGAAACTTAAATATGGTATTCATTGACCTAGAAAAGACATACAACGAAGTTGCTAGGGAGATCTTATAGAGATGCTTAGAGTCTAGAGGTATATCTGTGACATACATTTGCGATTAAGGACATGTATGATGGAGCCAAGACCTAAGTGAGAATAGTTGAAGGGGACCCGGAACACTTCCTAGTCGAGATGGGGTTGCACCAGGGATCAACTCTTAGCCTCTTTTTATTTGCCTTGGTGATGGATGGATGGATTGATACGACATATTCAAGGAGAGATACCATGGTGTATGCTATTTGATGATGGCATAGTATTGATTGACAAGACACATGTTGGAGTTAACCATAGATTGAAAGTTTTTTAATAGACCTTAGAGCCTAAAAGTTTCAAGTTGAGCAGGACTAAAACAGAATACATAGAGTACAAGTTCAACAATGCATCACATGAGGCATAGGGGGAAGTAAGGATTGATACACAAGTCATTCCCAAGAGAGAAATCTTCAAGTATCTTGGGTTAATAATCCAAGGAAATTGGGAGATCGACGATGATATTATACATTGTAATGAAGTAGCGTAGATAAAATAGAACCTCCCATATGTTGTCCTTTGTGATGAGAATGTGCCACCCTGACTAAAAGATTATAGAGTAATCGTTAGCCCAACTATGTTGTATGTAGCAAAGTGTTGGCCAGTCAAGAACTCACGCGTCCACAAGTAATCCTAGTAGCTTACAATGTTGCTGTTAATATTAGACTCCTCTTTCCGTTGTATACATGCACCCACAACTTGTCTTTTTTCTTGTGCAAGTTCCATACTAATTTGAAAATAGCAACTCTATTCCATATTAAGATGTCAATAGTTAAACCACCAATTGGTCAGTTCCAAAAGTTAAGCTTTTGATGATGAAGTAAAGATGCACGTGCATTGCACGTGCTCCCTTTCGGGTTCTCCTTTACTTTTTTGGCCTACTGTATTTGGAAAATTCCTTATTTGGTTCTTAACTTGGATAACTTATGAAAACATTTCAAATTATCTCAAATGTTAGTTGAAATTGACTAACAAAATATAATCTTAAAATGAAAATTACAAATATCCAATCAATTTGGAGGGAGATAGTCTACACCTTCATTCTTAGACCAAAATCATAAACTTCTCATTTTCTGACTTGTCTCTAATGTAGTTATGTGGTGGAATTACATAACTCTGGTGCAATTTAACTTGATTTAGCATTTGACAAACAATTAGTAGTTGGTACCAAACAATCAATATCGTAATTAGAGCTGAATAATAAATATTTGGTATTAGTTAATTTATGGTGGGGGTGGTGTTTTGACTTTCATTTAATTTCAATAAGTACTTATTTTATTGTTTTTAGTAAATTTTAGAATTCTTGGTTTTCAACTTATAAAAGCCATTTAATTGTCAACCACGTCTCCATTTAAGGTGTTGGTTTCATTCATTGTTGGACTGTTTACAATTTACCAATCATGATTCATGATGAAGAATAATTAACGAGTAATCCTAATTTGAACACAAAATTTATTTACTTGAAGTTCTATCCATTGACAATATAAAAAATCTTTATTCAATTAGATCATGTAAAAGATAAGTGCATGTAATTCACCCTTTTATATCAACTAGAATTTAGATTTTGACATGCATGTAATATGGCAAAATTAGTTCTTCTTTTGCTTAATTAATCACGAACTCAAAAAGGTGGCCAATAATAATCTTTTTTCAAAAGAAAATATTTCTTTAAGTGGCCAATGATCAATTTGGATTACTTTAATATATTATTAATACTTAAACTGCTCTTCAGTATAGAAAAAGATCAATTTTAAATACACACAAATAAAATTGATCACAAGCAAATTTCAGGAACTTTAAAATTTTTATGGACTATAGTAATAAAATCAACAAATGATATTAATCCAAAATTAAAAAACCTCAGCACATAAACTTATTGAAGCAATCACTGAATCTGAGGAAAATGAAAGAAAAGTATTAAGAAAATATTCATGTAACTTTAAAAAAGAAGAGCTAAAGATATACAGAATTTGCATTTCAATTACGAGATTCCTCGTCAAATATCAAGCTTTTTGTATGCAAACAGAAGTTGTTTACATGGTTAATCGACTATGTCACGAAAAAATATTTAAGTATTTAAAGAAATTCTTTTTTTTTTGAAAAAATTGAGGCCCATTTAGGGCTGGGTTGGGCTGACCATTATAAGGCCATTCATATGGCGGCCCGTCCCGTCCTAGCCCACCAAATTTAAAAGCCCATGAGGGTTGGGCTGGGATGGGATGGGCTGGCCCGTTTTGATAACTCTATTAATAATAAGTAACCTACTATAACAGGTCAAATTATATTTACGGGGTGAAGTTTTTTTACTTGCCAATATATAAGTTAAACTCAATAACAATCCGAGGTTATCACAAAATAGGATTTAGTCCCATCAAATATAAATCTTATAAAAGGTTGTGATTGAATTGGCATTCAAAACTAGAAGACCGAGCTATCAATTAATGGAAATTAAATCAATGACAATATTTATAATTAATCCTTTCAATCCAAATTAAAGGATTTTATAGTGGGAACACTATTTATCATTTAGGAGAATAGATTCCACATGCATCTGATTCCTTTTTCTTAGCATATTCCATTGCATACTAGTAGCCGTTATTTTTGGAAATTAACAATTGCAAAAGTGACTTATATTGCCAAATAATTTATGTAAAAGAAAGCAAATATAATAATGTTAAGTAACGCTCCTCCATTCATTAGGTGTGAACCGTAATGTCACATTCATTAAAAATTAAAGAATCCAACTTTTATCATAATAAATAACATGAAAATTCTCAAGAATTTACATGCAAGTCATTTTAAAATGAGGTTTGATACATATAAGACCAACTGTTTTTTTTTTTTTTTTTGGTTTCCCACCCGGTGTCCGGTATCCGCATTGGAGCCCGACTATATTCGGATTCGCGCTGCGTAGGGCCCCTTTCGGGGGGAAGCGCTCCCTACCAAGGATTTTTCCATACCTAGGGCTCGAACTCGAGACCTCTGGTTAAGGGAGGAGCAGTCCCATCCACTGCACCACATCCTTTGGTGGTAGCTGTTTTCTTTATCTTGCTTGCCCTTAGTTTGTCTAGCGCTTTTCTATTGGGATCCGTTCTGGGAGTTAGGTTAGACGCTTAAGTTTTGTTTAGTATCGAAGACAACATAAAAAAGCAGCCCGGTGTACTAAGCTTCCACTATACGTGGAGTCCGGGAAAGGGCCGGACCACAAGGGTTTATGGTGCGCAGTCTTACCCTGCATTTCTACAAGAGGCTGTTTTCACGGCTTGAATTCGTGACCTCCTGGTCACATGGTAATAACTTTACCGGTATCGAAGACAACATATCAATCATTAATTCTTCCCCATTAATTTATCATCCTTTTTACTCTTTCTTCTCTCTTCGATTTCTCCCGTAGTAGAAAGATACATCGAGCAATTAAAATAAACTAAAATCTTCCTTCATTATATCCCGTAATAAACCTAATACTATTATAAATTTTTTATTATTTTTTACTATTATCATTAAGTGAATCTGAAAAATGAAAATATGAACCCAACAACTGTATTTCCTTTTCAATTGAATATATTCTGAACATTCATTTGAAATTAGCGTCTCTACATTGGCTTTTATCACTCTATTTATAGTATCCAATCGCAATTTTAGATATGTTTTACATATGATGGCTAAAATGTATCATGAATTTATAAAAAGAGTGGTGAAAATATATATTTTAGATACTCTTTTTTTGGTACTAAAAACTTACTAGTATTAGTACTCGCGCGATGCGCGGACACAAATCATGTCAAATATGATGTAGGTTGTTTGAATCATGTGCAAATTAATAACGGTTGATTACTGCTTACTCTAGGATTCCTTACTACTGTAGAATTCTATTTTGTAGTTACTGATCTTTAGGAATTTGTTGTAACTCTCTCCTCCTATTTAGGCTCTTTTCTGATAGGTGTTATCTTTTTCAAGTTTATCTTGTTGCTGCATCTGCTGTACATATATGTATAAATGGTTTGTCATACAATCAAATAACACAACAGTATTTTCCATCTTCTGCTTTCTTCTCTTTTATGGTATCAGA